TAGTTTGGGGATCGCTGATCTAGAGCAAAGGGTGACTTTAAACATCATTTTGAAGGGTGGTGTAGTGTGAGTGGTCTGCTGAAATGGATTTATGTCATCAGGACAGTTCAGACCAGAATCAGGGACTGAGCCTTGTGTCTTCTGGTCTGATCTTTGAAAGGATGGGAGGAGGATATATTATTTGGCCCTTGTGTTTTGAAATCTTTTGGGAGGTCTTTTTCAGTGTCCCACCAGCCTCTCAGGTACATCAGGCGGCAACATGGGAGACAGGACCTTCTCGGTGGCTGCCCCAGACTCTGCAATTCCCTTCCAAGAGAGGCTAGACTGGCCCCGTCCTTGCTATCCTTTCATAGGCAGACAAAGACTTTTTCATTTCAGCTGACTTTTGATGTTTGTTCAAAGGGAAAGAAGGGTCTTTTGCAATGTGCTGTAGTGTTTCCATCTCAGCCTTGCTGCGTGCCTTCAAGTCATTTCTGACTTATGGTGACCCTAAGGAGAACCTATCACAGGGTTTTGGGGTTGTTGTTTTTTTGGCAAGTTTCTTCAGAGGTGGTTTGCCATTGCCATCCTCTGAGGCTGAGAGAGTGTCCCAGTGGCTTTCACGGCTGAGCAGGAATTCAAACCCTGTTCTTCCACAGTCTGATGCTCAAACAACTACACCATGCTAAGCCTTAGAGGAAGGCAACAACAAAGCTTCTCCAAACAATTCTTCTCAAGGCGGTCATACCTTGGACACATCATGAGAGTTGAGCTGCAGATCCCAGAAGCCTTAACTAATATGGCCAACAGTGAGGAACGCTGGGAGTTGCAGCTGAACAATATGGGAAGGGTTGAGCAATGCTCCCTCCGTCGCCTGCCAGTCTACACTGACCAGGAGCATCTCTCCAGGATTTCGGACTCTCTTAATGCTGATAGCCAGCATGGCAGAGTGGTCTAAGTGTTGGACTAGGACTCTGGAGATCCAGGGTTCAAATCCTTGCTTGGCCATAGAAACCCACTTTGTGGTCTTGGGCAAATCATATACTGTACTCTCAGGGTTGCCATATTCCAGTCCCTCATTTCCAGGCATCTAAGGGGCATATTATGCAAACTATTTTATTTTTGCATATTAACAATTTGCAATCTGATTATCCAAATTCAACAACTCTATCATTGCACTTTTTCAACC